TGATTTGTTGGCTTATAGCACATCAATTTTCTTTTAAAGGATTGTTATATTAGTGGGAGTTCTTTACCTTGTAAAGGTATTTTGAGTACGAGCATTTTAATTTTATTTTTATTTTTATTTTTATTTTTATTTTTATTAAATTGATAATAATCTTTTGCTCAAATTCCGTTTCTCAAGGAAATTTTTTTTATAGTCAACTATATGTGTGAGGATTGTGGCCAATCAATTATTTGTTTGGTCTTAATATTTTCAAAGTTTAGTTATTGCCCGTATAAATATATTTCGTTAATAGGAACATGGAAAAGAAATTTGAAGTCCTCCCTAGATCCTTAGTTGTTTCAATTTTTTTTTTTTCCCGGCAAAAAATAAAAAATAAAAAGTTCATTAAAAATAAAAAGTACAAGAGGGAAAAGCATACAGATAAAAAAACCTCCCAGAAAACAACTAACAAGGGCAGTGCTCTCCTTTCAATAGGGTATGCAATTGAATAATCTAAAATATATATTTTTTTAATAAATTAGTAATATATATGTTAAAACAGTCCATTCTCCAATTATGAATTCCCTGTCCCACTACATTGAACACCCAACCAAACCAACTCATTTTGCTGAACACCCACTCCACTCCATTGAATATCTAATTCATAACCCACTAACACCTAAAACAATAATGTTAGGATTATCATCTTTTCTTATCATAATTTCTTTATCACTATATGTGTCAACATTATATTAGTTTAATGATGCTTGTTACCAATGTCAATACATGAGATGATAAACAAAACATGGAAAAAAAAATTTTAAAAACATATATGGTTAAGTTTCTTATTATACAGATTCTTCTATGCTTATGCTTCTTCTCTCCAACATAATAATACAGAACCTATATATTCACGTATTTTATTCCTTATCTAAAAATTTTATGCCAATTCATGTTCAAAATTAATTGATCGATCAAAAATGTTTGGGAAGTGGCTTTTTTAATGCGCTTTGGTTTTGACTAAAATATGAGGTGAAAAAATATGTTTGGGACAGACTTTTTGCGAAAAACATGCAAAAAGTAAAGTGAATGGGAATTCTTTGTAGAGGATGCCTTATCCTCGTCTATTTTTTGTCCATTAATAAATTTCTTTGTTTTGATCTCAAAAAAAAAAAAATTAGTATAGTGAATGAGAAGGAATCTTTAACTTCTTTGTATGAATTGAAAAATTTTTGGCGTTTTAATAACTTTTTGGCTTTTTTAGTAGCTTTTTGACTTCTTGGCTAAAATAGCACCTCATACAAAAAAAGTCAGATCCCATTCCATTGACTCTACGTTTTGCATGCTTTTCAGTAAAAAACCAAGAAGTTCTTCCCAAACATATCGATTTTTTTCACCTCACATTTTAGCCAAAAAGCCACTTTCCAAACGGGCTCAATTTATAACTTGCTCCACAAATTAACCATAGAGGCAAACTGTATGAGAAAAAAATATCATCTTATCATGCTAGTGATAAAGACAAAATATATTTATGATAAAAGTTCATGTATCTACAATTTTTTTTTATTTTTTTTTTGAAACAATGGCAACAGTATATTATAAATTTTTTAATTTGTGATTTGGAATGCGGAGTTGGTGGATCATTTGCTTATTCATTTAGATGCTTGTTGCTGCAACTTTTGGTTTGGTTTGGGTTCAGCCAGGTTCAGTATTGGCGGTGTTGCATAGTTAGGTTGGGGGGAGGGTTGAGAAGAGGCATCGAAAGGCATGGATGCTTGCAGGGCATTGTTTGGTGTTATTGATATGTTTGGAGCGGAATAAGCGTATTTTTCATTATGTGTCTCGGTCCGATCCGTGGTTAGAGTGTTGGTTACTCACTATGCTTCATAGTTTGGTTACAGTTATGGTAGATTCAGATCTGTTGGCTTTTATAAATTTTGTAGAGCAATTTATTAGTATCTTCAACGTTGTATCTTTTTTTTTCACCAAATTTGAGTAAAAACTCTATCTGATATCCAACGCTACAATGGAGGATTTTGGTCTTTCATCAAAACACTGGTTGGCCGGGAGGACGACCGGGCAAATATTCGGCCGGTCGACTGGCCAGTGTAAATGTCAATCAATTCTGAAATGATTTGTTGTTGGAATTTTTCAACTAAGCGGCTGACCAAGTGGACATCCGGCAAGACGTCCGGCCGGTCGTTCGGTGATGCAAATCCAATGACTACGAACAGTGAAATGATGAAAAGTCCCAGCCGTCCTCAATTTGGTAAAGATTTATCACATTCTCAATTTGATAATGATCTGATGAAAGGATTGGAGCGGCAAAAAGGATGTTTTTTCATCAAATTTAAATTTGATGGCAGAATTGATGATGCGTTGGAGATGGTCTTAGGCTTTGTGCTGTTTTAGGCTGCCTTTTTGTATTTCTTACATCGTCTTGATGCTTTTCTAATAAAATTTGTTTATTTATCCCCCAAAAAAAAAAGTCCAATATACTACAATATATTACAAATTTTTTTAATTCATATAGTTTAAATTTTTTAATGTCTACCTCAAAAAAAATTCTTGAAATCACCACTTCATACTAACAGAGACAAAACTAATACCCATCCTAAACCCCAAAACTCTAATACACAGTTTTGAATTCCTAAGGCCATCTCCAATCCTTCGTCAAACGCTTCATTAAATTTAAATTTGATAAAAAATTGATTAAAACTGTCCTCCAACCGTTTCATCAAATCAATATCAAATGAAGAGAGTTAAATTTTTCATCAAATCAAGGGAGCTTTTGACCTTTCATCAAATTTTGTAGCTAGCCATTGGGCCGAACATCCACCCGGACAACCGGACTTTCTTCATCTGAATGTCAAATTTAACTCATGGCTAAACATCCTCTCGGACAATCGGACTTGTAACAAAATTTGATGAAAATTTTAAATTTACCATTGGAGTGCATTATATCAAATCAAACTATTCATCAAATTTTAACTTAAATTTGATGCAGGATTGGAGAATCCCTAACCCATTTCAATGCTTATAATAATGCCCTTCACAAAATAATCCTTCAACCCTTTAAAACCCTTGACCCAATGTGCAGTTTGCACCAAGACCAAATCCGCAGTCTCTCCATTCCAAAACCTCCTTGTTGAACACTGAATTGTTGCGAGTAAGCCCAATGCTCCATAATGCTGCTTAGTTGTTTCAGTTGTTCTGCCATATATTTTTAAGTGTTGTAATGGAATGTTTAAATGGCATGTGATATGTCACAGTTATGATCTTATATGAGGTTAGAGCATTCCAATAGATGAACTAATGAGTTTGTTAGTGTCAGCACCCAAATCAGTTAGCAAGCAAGAGAGAAAGAGGAAGGAGAGGACAAGCCTGACAGAAAAAGTAACACAGCAGAACATTTTTTTAAATTTTCTTTTGTTCTTTCTATACACTATGAAGCACGGACACCTCTCCAGAGGCAATGTATGGGTGTCGGACACGGACACGGACACGCGGTGGACACATGTCCGACACTCTGCCTAACGTGTTCCCTTTTTTTTGAATTTTTGCAGCTGGACACTCTTGGACAAACAATCTTGGACACGTTACAGAGAAACCCAGACAGAGAGAAGCCCTAACCCATTGAAGACAGACATAGAGAAAACAGAGAGAAACCCTAAACCATCGAAGACAAAGGAAGAGAAAAAGAAAGAGAAAGGGGAAAAACCTGTTGAAGCCCTAATCGAGGTCAGATCGAGGTATGTTCTTTCAATCTGTGTGTGTTCGACTCTCTCTCTCCCTTTGTTCATCGTCGAAGTCGAACCTATTCATCTTCACCCTCTCTCTCCCTCTATTCAATGCTCTGTTCTTCGTTTCCTTTGTATTCGTCTCCTCTCTCTCTTTCTCTGTGTTCGTCTCCTCTCTCTGTTCATCTCTTGTTCCCCCCTCTATTCGACTCCCTCTCTCTCCCCTCTTAGTTGTGGTCTCTCTCTCTCTCTTCCTCTTTTATTCTTTATTTTTTTTTTTTTTACCTTTTTTGTTTTTAATAATAAAAAATAAAAATAAAAACTTTTTCGCATCTTTTATTATTTTATTTTTTTTAATATTCTCAATATCCTAAACATTAACATATAGAATAAATTATTTTTATTTGTAGAAAAAAATTGAAAATGATATTTAATATTAAAGTAAATAAATAAATAGTATAAATAAATAAAAATAATATATTTTTTTTTAATTTTACATATATTAAATAAATAAAATTATATATATTGAGCGTGTCCCCAGCGTGTCGTGTCCCCCAATTTTTAAAAATTTACCTGTCCAAGTATCCTTGTCATGTCCCATGTTCATGTCCGTACTTCATAGTCCATACATATATAATACATGTATACATTATATTATTTACTAGCACACATCATTGGAGCACCCCGTTCACTCTCTAAATTAACAAACAATTAACACACTTTATAACTCACAATCTAAACCGTCCCACCGTGGATGCTCTTACTTAACATTACAACAGAAGTACGAGAAGGCTAGGTATGCATTTTATAGCTGTTTATAAATGGGTTTGAAATGACTACTAAGTAATAGGCAGTGGTGTATAATTATTTAAAAGGTTGTCACTTCAGATATATATATATATATATATATGTGTGTGTGTGTGTGTATTAGAAATCACACATATATATATGAGAAGGGTAGCACTCACTGCATGTGCACTTTATACATGAAATTCGGTGCATTTGTTTTGTTTTAATAACTGATTATCTTTCTTTAAAAATAAAATAAAAAAGATTGTCTATGAACTATCTTCCATCATATACCTACTAATTCCTTTCACTATTCAATTATCTTACCAAGTGTAATTAGTTGGGCACTAGCCGAAATTAAATCACATACCTACATAACTTATATAAGATGGATTTATATACTGTTTCAGAGCAAATGAATCGGAAAAGCAAACATGCCATATACAACCAAGATATAATTATATGATGCAAAGAAACCACGCAAAAACACACCTTGTGAAAAGAGGCTCCTTTGTTCTTTTATTTTTTTTCCTTCCACTCCAAAGTCCAAAGGAGCGTCAAAACTTCTACGTGTTATTGAAGGACCTAGAGAGAGAAAGAACCCACAAACACATGTCACTCGTGAGTTAAAATTAAGGCTCCTTGATTAATCACTTTTAATGGAATAATTTTAAAAATATATATATATTGAATTATTACTGGTCAATTGGGTCAAGTTCAATTCATAGGGATTATTGAGGGTGGGACTTGAGCACTGAAACAATAACCTGAAGTGGCTTTTTGTAATCATTAAAAACTTACCATTGTACCAAGTAAATGTAACAGCTGCAGTTGGTCCTCTGGAACTATCTAATAATTTTCCAAAGATGACTTGAAGCTTTAAACTGTAGGGAATTCTTTGAAAACATTGGACAATTAACAAAATATATATATATATATATATATATTCTATATTTTAAAATTAATATTAACCACAATAGTCTCTCATCTTAATTTTGCAAAATTACAATGTTCTCAGTATTAACAGTTCCGCACTGAGAGTTAAGAAAAGGGTGACAGAAATTTGATATCACAATTCAAACTGCCATCTTCATCATCCTTAAACCTATTCAAATAGAAATTAGCTTCGTCAATAAAACACTTGCAAAAAACCTATACCTGTATATATGCAAGTACACAGGAAAAAAAAAAAGAGACGGAAAGGGGACAACATCTTGGAATTGACATTGCTCAATTTGCAAAATCCAGAAAGGAGGTAATTACCAAGCAAACTACTCCAGACAGAACACCCATCAAAATTCAAATATGAAAATTAAATAGAGATGTACCTGGAACATGTATGTATGTGATGTATATATTGTTAAGTGTATATATATAGGTATATTTTAATTTGGGTATAGAAGTTTTTTTTCATGGTAAGGACACAGTCACCCAAACATTTTTTTTAGATGGGAAAATTTTTAAATTTTAAAAATATATAAATAATAAAATCTACACAACTTCAATTTTGAGAGAACACCAACTGGTCTTCTGCCTTCATAGTTGTCAAATCGGCAATCACATTGTGAATCAAAATCCTAATTTTGTGAATCATGAATCAAATCAAATCAAAAATTGTTAAGATTCAGTACAAACTATTAAAAATTATGTTAAACAATTCTATATACAAAAATAAATAAAAATTGATTTTAGCATGTTTTACAAAATAGTTTTTATATAAGAACATGATTACACCATCTAATTGGGAATAAATTGCCCTCATAACAACAGGGGTGTCTAAATCCCACCAACCATAAAATTATTCCAAAATAATAATATAATCTTTCTTAACATTCAAAAAAATAAATCTAGAAACTTTTTAGAGTATAATAATAAGAACTTAGTAGAATTTTTTTAATGTAAAACCTAAAATACTATAAAAAAAAATGTGTATGTGCGTTTATTGTTCAAAAAAAAGTTTTTTAAAAAAAAAAAAACACATACATGTATATACATGTATGCAGAGAAAAAAAGAGACTGAAGGAGACAACATCTTGGAATTGAAATTGCTCAATTTGTAAAATCCAGTAAAAGAGAGATTGAACTCTGCCGGGGCTGTTTAGCAACTCCATCGGTCCCAAGCCTGGGTAAAGGAGGAGGGTTGTGTGTTAGGTAGCCGACAACTAACACGTAAAAAAGCCGTTCAGATCCCTTATGATAATGATTCCCACTTTGAATTGATTAAATGCTAGGTCATTCCCTTCAAGTGACACGTTGCGCCTACCTCTGGATGTTTCGAAAAGTGAGCAAGGGGCGCCGCATCGACGCCTGGGTGCGGTAAAAATTGGGTAAAGGTTTCTACGTTTTTCTGAACAAGTGCGGGTAAAGAAACTAGTTCAAGACTATAGGTTTAAGGTAGCCAATTGTAATATAAGAACTTTAACTGGTAAGACTATGAAATTGGTAGATGTTATGATTAGGAAAAGAGTTAGTATAGCATGCGTACAAGAAGCTAAGCGGACGGGTGAAAAAGCTAGAAAAATTGAGGATACCGGATTTAAACTATATTATAGTGGCAATGATAGACGCAGGAATGGGGTAGGAATAATAGTTGCCAAGGGTCTTGTGGATAATGTTGTGATGGTCATTAGGAAAAGTGATAGGCTTATGTTAGTTAAACTAGTCATTAAAGAGAATATAGTGAACGTTATTAGTACATACACCCCCCAAGTAGGATTAGATTATCAGACTAAGGCCTCGTTTGGGAATAGGCTAATTTAGTAACTTTTTGACTTTTTGGCTAAAAATGTAGGTAAAAAAAACTTGTATGTTTGGGATGACTTTTTGACTAATTACGAAAAGATGTGCAAAAAGTAGAGAGAAAATAGAATCTTTGACTTTTTGGTATGGGTTGTTGGCTTTTTGGCTAATTTAGTAACTTTTTGACTAATTGGCTAAAATAGCCTCTTGCCAAACGAGGCCTAAGAGGGATTTTTGGGAGCAAATGGATAAGATCTTACAGGAGATACCCGTAGGAGAGAACGTAGTTATAGGTGGAGATTACAATGGTCATGTAGGAATAGATAAACTAGGCTATAAGAGGGTGCGTGGTGGATATGATTTTGGTGATAGAAATGAGATTGGAGAGAGTATTTTAGATTTTGCGTTGGCTTCTGACCTGGTGGTGGCCAATACTATGCATAAGAAAAAAGGGAGCATTTGATAACCTTTAAGAGTGGGTCAGTTAAGAGCCAAATCGATTACTTTTTAGTAAGGAAAATGGATTGTCTGAAATGCAGTGAGTGTAAGGTGATTCCTAGAGAGAGCCTGACGTCTCAACATAGAATTTTGGTACTAAATTTATGTTTTAAAGGGCAATACCAAGTTAGGAAGGATAGTGAGTGTCGTAGGACGAGATGGTGAGACCTGAAAGAGGATAAACTATAAATATTTAAGAATAAAATGGATAAGGAAGGTACTTAGGACTTGGAAGATAATGCTAACACTATGTAGGACTCGATGGCCAATTGTATGAGAAGAATCTCAAGGAAAGTTCTTGGAGAGTCGAAAGGAAAAGGACTCAACTCTAGGGAAACTTTGTGGTGGAGGAAAGAGGTTCAAGCAGTAGTTAAGAAAAAAAAAAGAGTACTTTAAAAAGTGGCAGAAGGATAGAACTGAGGAAAACCTTAAGAGCTATAGATTGGCTAATAAAGAGGTCAAGAAAGTAGTGAGAAAGGCTAAGTTGAAAGCTTATGATGACCTATACAGAGATGGTGAGACCTGAAAGAGGATAAACTATAAATATTTAAGAATAAAATGGATAAGGAAGGTACTTAGGACTTGGAAGATAATGCTAACACTATGTAGGACTCGATGGCCAATTGTATGAGAAGAATCTCAAGGAAAGTTCTTGGAGAGTCGAAAGGAAAAGGACTCAACTCTAGGGAAACTTTGTGGTGGAGGAAAGAGGTTCAAGCAGTAGTTAAAAAAAAAAAAAGAGTACTTTAAAAAGTGGCAGAAGGATAGAACTGATGAAAACCTTAAGAGCTATAGATTGGCTAATAAAGAGGTCAAGAAAGTAGTGAGAAAGGCTAAGTTGAAAGCTTATGATGACCTATGCACTAGACTAGATAGTAAGACGGGAGAGAAGAGGGTATACAAATTTGCTAAGATAAGGGAGAGAAAAACAAGAGATTTTAATCAAGTTAAGTGCATCAAGAGTGAGGATTCTAAGGTATTGGTGAAGGATGAAAAGATTAGGGAAATGTGGAAGACTATTTTGAGAAACTGTTAAATGAGAAACATGGAGGTACGTTAATAGGGAAGGAAATAATCAGTAATAAGGAAAACCAAGACTATAGGTTATCGCAGGATTAGGAACTTTGAAGTAAAGATTGCACTTAAGAAGATGAAATCGAATAATGCTTTAGGACTTAATGATATCCCTATTAAAGCTTGGAAGTATTTGGGTAAGAAAGGGGTTGCTTGGTTGATTAGGTTGTTTAGCAAGATTTTGTTGACTAGGAACATGCCAGATGAGTGGAGGAAGAGTATTTTAGTGCCAATATATAAGAATAAAAGAGATGTCTAGAATTGCAATAACTATAGAGGAATTAAACTAATATGTCATATAATGTGTGGAAGAGGGTGATGGAACGTCGATTGTGAGATATAACTGAGGTGTCCGAGAATCAATTTGGATTTATGCCTGGTAGGTCAACAATGGAAGCGATCTATCTTTTGAGGAGAGTAATAGAAAAGTATAGAGAAAAGAAAAAAAACATTCATATGGTGTTTATCGATCTTCAGAAAACATATGATAGAGTGTCTTAGGATATAATCTGGTGGGTGTTAGAGAAGAAAGGGGTGACAAAAGGTTGTATTGATGTGATTAGGGACATGTATGAGGGGTGGTGACCACTATTAGATCGCCTATGGGAGTGACAAATGAATTTCAATTACTGTAGGGTTTACACCAAGGATCTACCTTAAGTCTTTATCTTTTTGCTTTAATTATGGATGAGTTGACGAGAAATATTCAGGATTATGTGCCATGGTGTATGCTTTTTGCAAATGATATCGCGTTAGTGGATGAGACTAGAGAAAGACTTAATATAAAGTTGGAGATTTGGAGAGAAACACTTGAATTTAAAGGATTTTGAATAAGCAGAACTAAGACAGAATATATAAAGTATAAATTTAGTAACAGTAATAATGGAAGCAGAGGAGAAGTGAAGATTAAGAACCAAGAACTACCTAAGAGTAAACATTTTCGTTATTTAGGGTCGATTATCACAACGACGGGGGAGATTGATGCGGATGTGGTCCATAGAATTAAAGCGGGATGGCTTAAGTGGAGAAGTGCACCTGGGGTACTGTACTGTGTGATAAATGAGTACCCACTAGACTAAAAAGAAAGTTCTATAGAACAGCTATTAGACCGGCGATGTTGTATGGGACAGAGTGTTGGGCAACCAAGAAACAACATGTAGACAAGATGAGTGTTGCTAAGATGGATGTGTGGCAAGATTAAAAAAGACAGAATTAGGAATGAGTATATTCGGGAATCGGTAGGAGTAGCACTAATAGAAGATAAGTTGAGAGAGAATAAATTGAGATGGTTTGGCCATATTCAACAGAGACCAACAGAGGCAATGTAGTAGTGAAGAAATGTGATGCAGTAACGGTAGATGGAAATGTTAGGGGACGGGGTAGACCTAGATTGACGTTGGCTAGCGTAGTAAATAGAGATGTGAATCTACTTAATTTGACTAATGAAATAGTCTTTAATAGAGCAGTATGGAGAAGAATGATTCATGTAGCCGATCCCATTTGATGAAACTAAAGGCTTGGTTTGGTTTGGTTTGGTTTGGTTTAGTAAAAGAGAGATTGAGAGGAGTTAATTAC